GGTGCAAATACCTTTCTGTCATTAGCATTCCAAATAAAAAATGATGTAATGCATTAATTTTACTTTACTTCAGGTTTTGTACCTTACTTTGTCTAAGAAGAATAAGGAGAATTATTCTTTGAAAGTTTTCTGGCAAAATAAATTAGTGGAGGGTAAAGTTCAAATTTTAAATTATGTATGATATTATAATGCATAATTGAGAAGCCAAGGGAAAGGAGGTGTTTGCACTTATTTTCTCAAAACTATAGGGGAGGCTTTTGTTAAGGTAAATACACAAAGACAGTTTAAACTTTAAAGAATTTTTATAAGCGATTGTTTTTATAATTTTACCAAAATAATAAGAAACCAATAAAAATTAGTATTAAAAATAATACAAATTTATAATATTGAGAATAGGAAATTTGCCACTCTTACTAAAACACAACTTAGATTGTGATTGGATAAACTAGACATTACCTTAAAAAATAATACTTGAATTGAATTTAGATGGACACCATTCAATCGGAAATATCATAAAACTCCATCTTCAATTTTGCTTATAAATAAAGATCGTACATCGCATGGGTCCTAACTAGTAACTGTTGTTTTAGAAACTCCTTTTTCCCATGAATTTATCATTTGGAAAAATTAAATGGAGCATTTTAAAGTACTTAAAAAGAAAGAATAAAAAAAAGAGCATTTTGAACCACTTCAAGGGATCTAAGGTGACAATGGCGGATTCCTCAAGCTCTGGTTTGTAGCCAGAGTTTATTTCGTCTAGGGAGAGTGTAATAACCTTGTTTTCGGAAATCCTTCCTCCCCCCTGACTTTGTCAATGACGGATTCCTCCTCTGCCAAACAGCTCATTCGTTCCTCGGATATTGTAGCCTCTTTTGTTAACACGGTCCTAGGATGGGTCTCTCATAGGTTTGGACTCCTCCATCTGGCTTGTGGTGCATTAACAATGATGGGACTCTCAGGCCTCATATTAAGAGCTTTATTTCACTCAATCGAATTGCATATTTACGCCTTTTCATCGTGGATGTTCAATCCACCTCACTTAACATTCAAAAAGTTTTAAACAAAACAAGAAGCGTAAGGGGGGGAGGTTGATGAGGTTGGGAGGATGATGCTATTTGTTATGCTATTTGTGCATTTGCTGCCTCTGTTAGTTCTTGTCTATGAGATGGAGGGCATTGGGTGATGTCTCTCAAGGCTGCTTGTAGCCTTGTAGGCGTATATATCCGGAATCTCCTTGTTTATTCCAATTCTAAGCTGGGCTATATATTGGAAACATTGTGTATCAGAAATATTAATTTAAGAGACACCAAAATCTGTTTTAGATACGTATGGACGAGGAAAAAATTAAGATATGCATGGATATATTAGATCAGTCTTAGCTCTACAACATATTCAACCTGTAAGGATAGATCACATAAACTTGAAGAAATTATATATATTTTATTTCAAAAATAAAAAAAAAGTTGAAAAAACAATTATTTAGAAGAAATTTTAATTGATCATGGACATGATAGATCATTATAGATCCACAACATAATCAATTTTTAGAGGTAGATCATAAGAAAGACCTAAGATTTTCATTTTTTTTTTTGGATTTTTTACTATTCTGGAATTTCTTCAAATATTTACAAAGATCTACATATAGTAGCAAAATAAGTGGGATTTTTTGCACAAGAATAGTAAATCAACATACATAAAGATGTTTCTAAGCATCCAAACTAAAAAAGGCACAAAAACATTGGCTGAAATTGTAAAAAAGAATTGAAAAAACAAATCTATTTTTTCTCCTTTTTTAACATCTTTGAAAAACTTGTTGGATCTTGCAAATTTGTGGATTTTTGGTAGATTTTCACTAGATTTCAGTCTCTCAAAATGGTATGAAGGTTTTTGGAGGGATTGGGGAAGAAAGAGGGCTTCTGAAATAGATTTAGAAGCCCTCTTTTGAATTAAGTTTTATTTTGTTTTTCACAACAATAAAATCGTATTATGTCGGTCAATACACTACCATCTCGATAGCATATTGGCCAATACTCACCGAAACAATGTTAATACAAGTATGATACACTTCCGACATGACAAAAAGGAACAATACTAAGGATTTTGATACAGATTTCATGATAAGATGTTCGTAGTGCATAGTTGTGATGTGCTGTGAGGTTGGTATGAGGCACGCTCTACGAGGAATAAAACTGAATTCACCTTAAGCTTAGTTTGGAAGGAATATAAATACAAATATGTAAAATGCAAAATCATGTATTTTATAATATTTTGTACTCTTTCCAAACTGAGCCTTAGTAACTGGTGGGAGATGCATGAAAATCTATTCTCTTCATAGACTTTTTGTAATTCTTTATTTTTTGTATACGCCGACCATTTGTCTAAGCATTTTGATTTGTTTGTCTTCGGGATACTATTTGCTTCCCTGTCCCCCCACCCCACCCCAACCTTTGACACTTAATAAATTCCGTTCGTACTATTCTCAAAAATGTTTATTCGTCATATCTTCCATAACTAAAAGTATGAATCAGGACCAAAACGAGGAACAAAAAATATAGCTGTAGCTGAAAATGGTGAGAGAAAAACCCTATAAAATAGGCTTTCTGACCATATTATCTTCATTGCATCTGATCTATTTTCTTTAACAACCAGTCTACCTGGTTGCCAGGTGAAGATAGTAAAAGCTCATCCAAGAAAAGCTAAAAATGAAGAATCATTGTTTAAGTATCAACTTATACTAGGTTGCCATTGTAAGCGCCATGGACATATGCTTTTGACATACTCTGGAGAGGGGGAGAGAGAATTGTCCATTGTAAGCGCCATGGACATTGCTTTTGACATACTCTGGAGAGAGAGAGAGGGAGAGAGTAAAAAATGGGCAAAGCCCGGCCCGATAGGAAAGGCTGGAACAGCTGACAACGTCCATATTTTGATCCAATTTTGTAATCAGGTTGGGTCCAGGAGTATCAAAGCCCAGACTTGGTGCATCTGACCTATAGGGTCTGTAAGTAAATACCTAAAATCAACCCTATCATTAAATGGTGATATCAGGCTAAACTATGATAACCATTTAATGGCCTCTTACCTGATCCATCCTCTAAAATATATGACAATCTTATATATTTATGAAATATACAGTATAAAATGTTGGGGTTGAATATGAATACATTTGTGTATGTGAATTTATCTAAAACTTACAGCATTTCTCTTAAATTCATCACAATTTTTTAAGATGTCCTGCGAGTCCCATGCGGAGAATTTTTATTTTCCAAAACTTACCTTCCATTGAATCACTGTTAGTGATCATTGACAAAAGGTGTCCCATATAAGCAATTAGGTAATACATATGACCAAAGTACCCCTAAACAGTGAATGAGTTTTTGGCGGTTTTGTTAATGGCATGAACTTCATATGAAACGATAGAGGAAGAAGAAGGCGAATGGGTGTACAATCATGATTGTCATGGATGGTTTATAATTAACTTCTTCAAAACAAACAAGTACTCTTAAGGAGGCGTTCTTTTTTCGGATTTTGAGATGGAGAAAGTTGGTCAATCGGATTTTGGTTCCTATTGATAAAGAATCTCATGTTCTTTTTTTTAGATTTATGTAGAGACTAGGGAAAGTTTATTTTACTGGGTATTTACTTACCGGGTAAGTGATAACCATTTCATAGGTGGATAAATAACTTTCCCACCTAGGGGGAAGTTTCCAACACTTGATGAAACAAAAAATGTCCCTTTTAATAATGAATTTTTATGGTTAAAATGGCTATTGCCTTATTTACATGAGAAATAAAAGAACATAGATAAATGCACTTTCCCGGGTAAATATTTATTAGGAAAAACTTACCTAGATAACTGCATTTACCTAAATAAGTAACTTACCAAAAAGTGGACAGGGCCTAAGTGTCTGGAAAGAGAACCCACCTAATTGCTTAATTTGTTTTATCATCAACAAGTATTCTCTATGTACTTTCTGTAATAAAGAGATTATTTTAATGGCATTAGTGGGTTTTAGTCGTCAAGCACATGGTCCTTAGTGGGTTTCAAGAAAAACCTCAAGAACTCATAGAATCAAACGTGCAATCCAGATATGCCACAAAAGGACATCGAGGTTAGGACTTTGTTGCATGCAGCCAATAAATTAGTGGCCATGGACAGGGGTATCATGTCTGAAGTCTGAACCCACCCAAGGGGTCTCGTTTTGTATTTTGAGGATTGAAATCACTCACCCTAACTTACAGGGGGGTTTTTCTAGATATGATGAGTTTAGATAATATCGCTTTGTGTATTTTCATAATGTATAAATCAGGTTGGGTCTCTTGCAGCAACCCCCGACCATTAACAGGCCTAAAGACAGATCCTAGAGTATATATGTGTATATATACCCAACTGGTTCATTACTGGACCTAAAACAAAGAGTTGAATAATGAACCCAAGGTAAGTTGAAGCCCAGTAGAAAGCCCGGCCCATAGAATCATCGAAGGCGTTGTAGTCATGTTGAATCTTGATGATGATATGAGGACTTGCTGAGGACTCGAGGAGCGCACGCACCGTGTGGGGGGATATTTCCTGATTCTTGTCCTCTCTTCCTGAATCTTCCCAACCGTTCAATCCCGAAATGTTAGGGCCTGGTTGACGACGGCAAGACCTCCTCTCTCTCTCTCTCTCAACCTCCTCCTCTTTCTCCCCATCTAATTACGTAACCTTGTAGCTATGCACTAAGCCTGTTTCCCGTCGGTTGGGAAATGGGGCAATACCCCCTCCCTCCCTCCCCCCATTCTCCAATCTCCGACAGCACACCACCACCTGGGCTGGAAACCAATGCGAATTCAGACCTTCACAAAAAGCATCAAGGAAACAATTAATCTTACAACCATAGCCGACTAACAATAATCAATGAAGAATAACATCACCGCCAGCACCATCATAATCATCTCTCGCCCACCATCGTCGTCGTCGTCGTCATATTATTCAAACCACCTCAACCAGAAGACGGGCCATGGTCCCACCATTATCGTTTGTTTACTTGGTCTTCGATGTCATAACCATCTTCTTCATCTTTGTTTGTATTCTCCTCTCCGTCTTCTCCCTCTGTTTAATCTTCCACTTTCACCTCAAGACCCGAAATTCTTGTCTACTGAAGGACTTCGGTTCTCTTTGGGCCGTCCGGACCCTCCTCGTTCTTTTTATCTGTCTGTGGGCTCTTAGCGAACTCCTCCGACTCCCTTTCCTCCGACGTTACATTTTCCCTTTATGTCCATTTTTCACCCAAACGCATCAGGCCAACTTGTGCAAGGTCCATATCGTCTTGTCTCTTGGATTCTTCGAGCCTGGGTTCTTGGTGACGCTTCTTTTTATCGTCGCCATCTCCGTCCGGAAGAAAACCCACGATGACACTTTTGCCACCGCCGTCTGGCTCGTCCTGGCATCGTGTTTTCCTATTCTCCTGTTGCAGGTTTTTTTCGTTTTCTTTCAGTCCAAGGAGGCGAAATTCCATGAATTTGTCCACAACGATCTGCCAATGGGTGCTGCCGTATTGTGTGCCTACCCATTGCTCGGTACCATCATCTTTGGCATATTCGGGATCGTCTACGTTCTGTCATTCTTGATATCGTGTTGGCGAGTGGTGTCCCTGGTTATCAACAAGCGCTTGAGATTTCGAGTCTACACGCTGGGAATCGCGGTTCTGTTCGCTGTGTCCATGCAGGTTCTTCTGCTTGGGATATCGGAGTCCTGGCAACCAAATGATCCCATCTTCGAAGGCCTTACGTTTGGGATGTTCCTAAGCGTGCTAGCTTGTGCTGTGGTGGCAGAGTGCATCTTGGTCATTAGACCCATCGCCGACGCGTTGGCTTTGGAAGCGGGGATGAGTTCCCGATTGGATAGCAGCAGCCGGTTCCACCGTGGAGTAGATGTACACGTCAATACAAGTAGTCAACTTGGGTGAGCGGACCGCCGCCGGAGGCCGGACCCATCAACTCAAACCTAGATTGTCAGAGGAGAGTCGTTGTTTGATGGAGTCATGATGAGTGTGTATATGCATCTGCGTCGTCCATTCTTGGGTCGGACATTTTATTTTCGTTATTCAGATATAAACAGAGACAGATACAGGTCGTTTGAGATTTTTTTTTTCAGTTTTTTTTTTTTAATATAAATTCATTTATGGGCAAATTTCTTAAAGTATCTCTAAGTTTACGTTTAGGAAATTGAATTAAGTATTCACAATTAACATCATCATTAAGCACTAAAAAAATGTAAAAAAATGAAGGAAAACGGAAAATAACCACTTTAATGGAGGAAAACGGATAATAACCATATAAGAAAAATGGCTTATACAGAGCTTAAAAATAAATGAAACACATACAGCCTGAGAAGACCGTTGGAACCACACTAAAGGACCGAACGAACTTCTTCCTTACCTCAAGATGACATCCTAATAATTTTTTGGTGGTTTCAATTTTGGGACCACCAAACAAACCAGACGTCCTATTAGGAAGTTGAAACCAAGGTGATATAGCCCATCATGCGTAAATAGGTCTTGTGGAAAAGCCAAATTTTGGGTGTTTCTAATTTTTGGAATATCAGAAACAGAAAGGAGGTATAGGGACTGTTGGGAAATGGGGTCACTAAAATTTTGGAGGAGAAGTTTTGAGGCGCATTTGAAGATACTGTCTTTAGAACGTTATTTGTCCTCACTCAGTTTGATTGAGTTTGCTGTTGGGTTACAGGCAAATCCATTATCATGATAAAACAGAGCCTTGGGCGAGAATCTGCAAACGGCAAAGTTGAAGAATCTTCGAAGAAACCTTCTGTGAGACTGTAGCAGATCGAACTGAGAGAGAGAGAGAGAAAGTGGATTTCGAAAATGTGTGTTTTAGAAGTCTGATTAATGCTCCTTAATTAGTTTATGAAGAAGTATGAAGTCGTCACCGTTGTGACTGTTTAAATGGTAGTTAACAGTTAATGACTGTTAACTTTGAATTGTGACTCTTGATCACACCCGATCGAATCATGACCGTTGATCTCATCAACGGTGATCAACAATCAGCATCGCACCAAAACCAAAGTTGCCCTTCGCGAGCCACGTAGGGGCGAGCAAAGTGTACCTCTAAAGCGCCCCATTGCGCCGCACACACGCGCAGTATCAAACCTCCATACTCTCCTCTACTATTTCTAAGGAGTGTAAATCAGCTCATATTAAAATACTAAAAATAAATGTTATAATTTTCCAATGTGAGACAAGTTCAAAACTGGGTTTTGTAAGAAAAAAACTAATTTTCCAAATAAGTGTGCAAGTGCAATTTCTCATGTAATTGACCAATCAAACCTATTGGATTTAATCGCTTATGAGATTAAAATCCAACAGGGATGTCGTAACTTGAAGCCGGAACTTGAACAAGTTCTTAATTAATCCCTAAAAAGTTACGGCAACCTTGTTCTCCACACATTCCTCACTTGCTCATTATTCTCTATCAAAGTGATTGTCTCTCAAACCACAATACCTAGCCACATCCAAAACCAATTCCATCCTTGAATCCTTTTTACACAACCATTCAAGTTAGTAGCACTATAGTAGGGTAAGACCGCTTGAGTTTAATAATTCCTGCCATTTTATAACTATGGCTTTTGTCTTTATCATGTTAATTTTCTTTTGTCAAGCACTCAAACATTGAAGAAACACCTTGGCTTCGTAAAACTGTTGTCGAACATTGAAGAAACTCATTGGCTTCGTGAAACTGTTGTCGGGCCTCGAATCGACACCTTTGTTACTGTCACAACATTTTAGGTATGCACTTGGATCACCCTACTTCATCTTTAGCCATTTGACCGATAACCAGATTGGGTTCGGATCCTAAACACACTTGGAAAAAGGTTTTTGGGTAAAGAGGTGGTCGACTAATCACCTCTCATAGAGTATTTCTCCTCCAACGATCATCTTCAACCCAATATGATCAACGCTTCTTTTCTTTTCTCTGAGTAAACCAGAAATGTGTCTGTCTTTGCCAAATAAGGAATCAAAGGCAGTGAAGAAGGGTGTTCAGACAACAGGCACTAGCACTCCCACAATTGGCGTTGGGGGTGAAGACAAGGGTAGTACTATCATTTTTCAAAATATAGTAGTCACGTGGTGTGACATGTGAATGGATTATGATGAATTGTGACAAAACCCTAACAATAGGGGAGTAATTAGTCAATTGTCAAAAACAATAGGGGTATTTTAAGACAATGTATAAACAGTAAGAGTAGAGTTAGTCAATTAGCTAAACAGTATGGGTAGTTTAAGAAATTTACCCTTCATTTATTGATAATAGAACATGAGACGTCAGAAAACAGGAAGTATTCAGTGGGCTGTTATAAGAGTTTTTAAATAATTCATTATTGTTTTTTTAATGCGTTAAGGGATTGAACCTCATAGTTGGACATGTTCGGCTCCAGCTAATTTTCTGTTCTAGGTTTCTATGATTGTTGTTTCAGCATTGAGAAATAACAGATTTCAATACAAACTGTGGCTAGTGGCCACTTCGAAATTTTAGGGTAAATTGCTGAAACCTCCCCTGAAATTTCTCGCTATTGATGAAATCTCTACTAAAGTTTGATAATTGCAATTACCTTTCCTGAACTTTGTGACGGTTGCAAGTAAACCCGCTTTATTAAAATCCTCTAAAAAGAGGCATGAAAAAGTCTAATATATCCATACAGTTACTTCTCACAACAAAATGTTTATTTTTCAAACTTTCTCTTCATATGAATCACTAGCCCAAAACCTTTCAATCTCTTTTTCAAAAATTAATTTTTTTATAAATTTGCCATTTATATCAATTGCTCAAACGTAACTTTAAATTCTCTTTTTTTTATTGTTAGGGAAAATTCCCAATTAGTACCCTGTACTTCTGGCTTAGTGCCATTTTGGTCCCCTAATTTTAGAACGCGACAATTCAGTACCCAAACTTTCAAAACGTGCCAATCTAGTATCTGTCATTAACTAGTCATTAAATGGCACTTGAAAAAGCACAAATATCCTTTGAGTGTCATTTAATTTTCTTTATCAACCATCCAAACGTTGACAAAAAATGAACGATCCCAAATCATTTTCTCTTTTATTTAAGAAAGTCGGGGTGACGCCCCAGTGGGCATTATGATGACCCCAACTTTCTTGAATAGAAGAAGCAAGGATTTGGGATTGTTCGTTTTTTATCAATGCTTAGATGGTTGATAAAGAAAATTAAATGGCATTCGAAGGGCTTTTGTGTCTTTTTTAAATTCCACTTAATTGCTGCTTAATGGTTGGCTAACGATAGGTATTGAATTGACACGTTTTGAAAGTTTGGGTATTGAATTGCCGCGTTTTAAAGTTTGGGGATCAAAGTGACACTAGGCCCAAAGTACAAGGTACTAATCAAGATTTTTCCTTCATTATTATTGTTTTTCTGTAGAAGCCAACTTCAATAGTAATTGCATAGGTATTTTGGATATTTCCATGCCTTGTTTGTAAATTTTAACTATGGGGGTTTACTTTCAACTGTGTTAGAAAGTTTAAGGGAGGTGATTGCAATTTTCAAACTTTACGAGAGGTCTTAGCAACGGTCAGAAACTTAAGGGGAAGCTTCAACAATTTACCCAAAATTTTATTAACCATTATCAAAATGAGTATAGAAAGATCAATGGGAGGACGAAATATGGCTTGCCCTAAAACCCAAGAACCATAAGCTCTCCCTCAACCACTCATCCCCAGCCAAACAATTAGAAAGAACCATTAAGAGATTCTCAACACAGAAAGGTAGACAATGCAGGTGTTTGGCTTCGATGTCGTTACTTCAAAGATGTTTTCTGAGAAAACGGTGTTGTATGCATGTCTGTTGCATTATACAACATTGGTCTACTTTATCCAACGCCCAAGATGATGCCACGTCATTGCACCGCTAGCAGCAACAGGTTGTTTTTTTTAGAAAACATTGAATTTGGCGTTTCTGTAGGCCACTCCCTCGATTTCTAAGGCATCGTCTGGAGCAATGTTTTTTTTTTTTTTTCTGAGGAAACAAAGCCAAATTAGAGATCATTTTCTGAAGCACCATTTTTTTACATGGCCCTATTGTGGCACCATTTTTTCAGAAAATAACATCGATGCCAAACACCACCAACATCTTCAAAGATTTGGACATGACTTGGAAGTTCAAAAAACTAAGTAAATGAGATGAAACTTTCTAGGTCAATGCCCTATTTTGCAATGAACTCTATAGCTGAATTCAGTATTCACTACCCTATATATGTATTTGACAGAGAAAGAGAGATGAGAAGCTAATCTTTTAACTTCAACCATTTGATAGTACTAGTAAGTTTGCATGTGTTTTGCACTTGGCAATTTTAGGTGGTGTTAGGCATTGATGTCGTTGCCTCAGAAAACAATGCCACATTGGTGCCACATTAGAAAAAGTGATGCCCCAAAAATGACTTCATGTATGGTTTCGTTTTCCAAAAAAGACATTGCCCCATAGCACACCTTGAAAATCAGGAAGGTGAAGTCTGAAGCAGGTTCCAGCCTATTGCTGCCAACGATGCAATGATGTGGCACCAATGTGGCATCATCTAAAGCATTGGGTAATGTAGACCAATGTTAAAAACAGTTATATAGCATTGGTACCAAGCAAAACCAGTGTTGTTTCCCCAAAAAACACCCTATGGGGAAGCATCGATGCCAAACAAAAAACTAAATCATTTTTTGAGAAAATGATGCAACAGATCCTCATCCATACAACACCATTTTCTCAGAAAATGGCTCTTAAGCAACAATATCGATGTCAAACACTTACCTAGATGATGATAATGATAGTAATAATATATCTGAAATTTTCTATAAAATTTATGTATTTTTTATTTTTTGTTTTTAATTATTAATCGGATGCAAGTTGCCAAATCTAAATCTGGTTATATAAACACCTCATGCAAAGA